AAGTTGATTCCAAAATAGTTTACGTGAGAAAGAACGTCAATGATTGATGGAAAATAGAGGAAATAGCACCTAATCATCGGCAGTAACGTGTTGTCGACATTTGAGAAACCAAGGGACAGCTACATCGCTGACGCCATAGGTATCTCACGTGGACGAATGATATAAACGGATGTTTGAACAGGTGTTTAAAAATCGATCCTTACTAATCGGAACTCGAATGGCATCCGATCGGATCGCTGTACAACGTCATCCAACATACAGTGATCATCATCATCATCATTATCATACAGCGTGATAAACTAAACTTCTAATTCGTACAGACTGAGTGAGAATGTGTAACAAGAATTATATATATATATATATATATATTCACACGTTTGAATCTGGGCTTTGCGCCAAACAAATCATAGTACAATAATCTCTAGAAAAAAGAAAAGCGTTCCATGATTTGCATGGGAACGGAATACTGCCGGGTTGCCCGAGCCAAGGTAAGTGAATTGGCTTGAAGAATCCACAACCGGATCTTTTGACTAGCCAAAGCCCGACCCGCAAGGCAGCGGGCGGTGTGCGAAAACCGCAGTCCGTTGGCGGGCCGTTGTCCAGTTCATCGGATCATTCGCCCTTTGAACGGGGTCAAACGTCCAAGGTGCCCAATACACCTCGATGCCCAATTGAGCCGGTGACCGCAACCACCACAACCCAGATGTGTGTGGTTCGTACGTCTCCTCTTGGTTGGTTTAGAATCAGGGTTTTTGGCCAACTCCCCTAGGTGAACTAACAGTGGTCCACTAAGAGAATAAGGATTGAACTTATTTTTAACGACTGAAAGGAATTCCGAACGTCCATAATCAGTACACAGGGTACACATTCCAACTGCGGATGCACACGTTTTCAAGCATTCTCGTCTGATAAGAAGTGACAGCAAGCTCCTCACTGCTGTCAGTTTGCTGCTATGATCTTCCATGTTTCCAACCATGCGGTTACAGAGTCTTTTGAACCCCAACCCGGAAGTCCGGAGCTACTTACTGTACCTAATCGCTGATTTGATTTCTTCATCCTTCGTCTTCATTTCATCTTTCGGCCTCAATGTGGCTTTCTCCAGTCTACAGCAGCCACTGCAAATAAGGTGCGGTGCA